GACTAGAATGTACACATGTGAACTAAAAGGCACATGTAAGGCAATAGTAATGGCATCATCATAATAATTTATATGCTAACATGGTATACTACTACCATAGTTACTTATTTTCCTTGCCTCTTAGGCAGAGTGGGGAGGAAGGTTGTTTATTTAAAAGTCTGTAAAGGATGGAATACTCTAATTACTTAACACAGAAGGAAATAGGATTCATGAGGGACAAGTCTGATTGTAACACATAAGAAAACTGTTGTTTCATGCCTGATCTTTGGCTGTATGCTTGCTTTGATTGCTGCTGTTCAACTCCTCTCTGCAATTAACCATCAAGTTGTCTGTGTGCAAATCACATTTTAAATGTTGCTAGCTGCCCTGCAAACAGAGTTGTGGTGACAGCAGGTCAGTCATTATATCTGACCACTTGAAAGTGAATAAGCTGTATTTGCTCAGACTTTACAAGGGCCTTTGGAAATGAGGGAGGAAGATAAAAGCAGGAATCATTTACAATATGAGCCATCTAGTCAGCGCAAATAAGGATTCCTCCACACCACAGAGGTTACAAATGTTTGCTCTGGACATAATGTATCTTTAAAGGAAGAAGCTGCCTCCAAATCACAAAGGTGAAAGAGGGCACTTTAATAATCAAATTACCAGGAATAAACAAAGGCACAACCATTGCATATACAAAACTCAAAGCGTCACAAACCCAACATCTTTTTGGCTTGGCTATGAGATTTTGCAAATAGTTGGCGTATGTACAATGGTGTGTATATTCTCTAAAATGACTAGATAATTATCCTTCTTGGCAGGGGTCTTCTGTAATAACAACACTGCAATGACAAAAGTGCAGTTGTGCTCACCTGAAATGTAGTTTTCCATTCCCAGTGAAAGATCAGCAGGATGGCTTGATGGCTCCTCCCCCTGGTCAAAGGCAGGTAGCAGCCCTTTGGGAGGCAGGGCTCCCATCATGCACTTTGAGCAGACTTGCCAAGCTCAAGAAAAAGAAAAACATCCTACTTCCCAATCCAAACTACAACTAACCTCAACTGTGTAAGTAGATGATGATGATGATGAAGAAGAAGAAACATTCCTGCAGCCCACTACATAGGGTGGGTCCAGCTGACTGGAAAAACTACATTTCAGGTGAGTGCAACTGTGCTTCTCCCCATTCCCAGTTTCAGGTCAGGAGGGATGGGAAGTACAATAGCTAACCTCCCTAGGACAGGTTAAGGCTGTAGGAGCTAAGGCAGGAAGACCTTCTGCAGGACCCTCTGGCCAAATGCTGCCTTGGCTAAGGTGTATGTGTCAGGTTGCAGTGCCTGGTAAAGGTATATTGGCAGGAGGGGCTGGGGAGATAGGAAATGCAATGCACCCGTTTGACATATGAACAGGGAATATCTTTTAAATCTCGCTTGTCTCCTTCACAATTCTTTTGAAAATGGTGTTCATGCTAAAAAGAAGCTTTGTGAGCTTGAATGCGAGCCGGACGATGGCGTTCGTGCCAAAATGAAAAGAGTGATGCAGTGCGGCAGCCCCGCCAGGCTTCTCCAGCATTCCCACTCTGAGAATGGAAGAAATTGGGCTGCTTCTCCCGTCCCTTCACTGAGAGCGAAAGGGAGGAAAGACAAAAGTGCCAAGGCTAAAAAGAAGAAGATGGAGAGCATGGGAAAGGAGAGGCTAGGCAGGTGCTCCAGGTGAAGTAAACTGAAGCAGAAGAGAAGGAAAAATATATCTATGGAATGAGGAAAGAAAATACCACCTAACTAAGATGTTAAAAAAAAGAATATATAAACCTAAGGAGACAAGTGAGAGCTAATGGTGATTGGCTTCACTCAATGAAGGCAGGAACAGAACTATGGGATGGGAGCTGTATCTCCCTAAAGGTTGCTGCCTGCCTTCGACCAGGGAGAGATCATCTGTCCCCCTTGCTGACCTGGATGTGGGAATGGGAAAATCACTTAGCACAATGTGATCCTCACAAGCAGTAATAGTGCTTTTCATGGAGAAAAACATAAGTTCCTGCAGTACATCAAATAAGCTGGCATAAATGGCTTAATTGTTAGAGCGTTGGACTATGGCCTGGGAGACCAGATATTGTTGGTCTATTGGGTGTGGGGAAGATACCACCCACTGCCCCTTATACTTCTGAAAGCTCTAGCTCTATTATCATCTCTGCACTATTGGCACTCTGACAAAGCTTGAGGGCTGTCAGATGGGGAGGATGAACCTGCCACCTCCCTTTCCCCACAATTTAAATAAATAAACCTATTTGGCGATTGTATGGCTCTTGGGAATTTTACAGAAAGGGAACAAACCTTTGCAAGCCCTTTCATAAATCTCCCATCTGTCAGAGGCTCCAACAGCAGTGGAAGTGACTGATACTCTGACTGAGGTTCAGTTTACATCACCGCAAAGGGTACTGTATCTTGGCACTCCTCCTCACCTTGATCTTGCTAGATCAGGAAATGGGAATTCAGAGAAAGACTCCCCTTTGCAGATGCCCCAAATATTCTATGAGGGACAGGAGTCCTCTGTATAGGTCGGGCCATAAAGGGTCCTCCCAGACTGTTGCTATTTTGGGGTAGCATCCAGTTGCACACCAGCAAATTCAGGTTGCGCAATCCAATATGATTTGGGGCTGGTGCACAACAAACCAGCTTCTTCAAAACATGGGATAAAAGAAAGTGACTGGAAAGTGTAGGGTAGCATTTGCCTGACACAATGCTATCTATCCTCCCCACAACCAAATCAAAACGAATGCTCTGAAAGCAGCAGATATAATCAGATCTCCCCAGAAACAAATTTGGATTAATGCTCAATAAACAGGTCATCTGGAAGCGACCTCAGAGTGTGTTCATGATCCCAAGTGTGTTGTGCTTAGAAACACATCTGTGATACTGCCCTGAAGCAAAACCAGTTCTGCTCTTGCTCACCAATTCATGCTGCTAGCTAAAGCAGCATAGTATTATATTGCTCCAGGTTCTTCCACACATCCAAGACATAACCATGCATCAAAGAAGAACTGCTGCATCTGGCTGCAGTTAGAAGGCAAATGCAGGTGCATCAGTACGAACAAAAGCTACTATGCTGCTGCTGAGATTGGGGTCAACATCACAGTGAAGCAGCACACATTATGGCACCGAGTCAGGCTTTGGCCCCTACTCTTGTTGCGGCAGTGCATTGGATCCAATCATGCATCTACCTCCTATCTCACTTTTCTTAATGTGGACAGGCATGTAAGCTCCATAAACGTGGCCATGATTGAGTTAGGGAGACCCCAGAGACACCCTTAACTAAGTGTGATTTTCACAAGGCTGCTGCTGGCTTACTGCTCCTGGACCCCTGGGATATTCCTGACGTACTTGTGATGAAACAGACAAGTACCAGTTGCAAGAGTTTCTCCATCCTTCCCAAGTAAGTGAAAACAGAGATTCTAAACACATTCCTTAATCTGACTTTTACCAAGAAAGTTTCCTGACAGTACAGTAGGTAACCAATATTTTTGCCAGGTGATTTATATTGCCTGTCAAAGAGAAGTAATTTTATGCTCTCAGGTGAAATCTGTTTGCAGATACTTTTTGCCAAGCACATGCCTGCAATTCACACAGCGGCTCTTACTCACGCCTTTGTGGTTATGGAATCAGTTTCTTTCATACACGCTCATTTTCATGGCCCCTGGGGCATATTAATTTATATGCAGCACTACAGTCCAAGATTCAACAGCACATTATTCTTTCTGGTTCCAAAGCCCTTCATTCTCTAACCAGGAGTTACAGTGTTATGCAGCTGGGCTATAAAATATTCTTCATGCTGATATGTCTCTTATAGAGCATGGATCACTTTTACAGTCTGAACTGAAGCTGCATTTGATCTGACTTTTACATGCTAATTGGTTTACATGGATTGGCTAGATATTTTTGATATGTACTATGGAGCCCTTTGGAATGCTTGCATGAAGGATTATACCAATGCAGCCTTTCAAATTTTAAGAGCTACTAGTTTACAGAGTTCCAGCAAAACAGACTACTTAAAAGAAAAACTGGGAGGAAGAAACACGTGAAGTCAGTTATAAGAACATAAAAAACATTTGTTTATGGATTCCCTTGGGAAATAAATCCTCACTGTTAATTATGTCAAGTTGCAATTTTCTTTACAAACTTTTTTGTAATCAGAAACCACTTTTGTTCTTACGATAGTATAACTATATATGCCTGCATTTCTGTGTTTGTGTACTATATAGATTGATACACGGATAGTTTTATACAGTAAGCCTGCCAGGGTTACGTTCCAGGAATCGTGCCTAAAGCCACAATTGTGTACGGTATAGTCAAAACACAGAGTTTGGTGACATTGACAAGGATACAAAGGAAGAATAATATACAGTAAATACACCAAATATTGCATTTTAGTTGAATAGGAAACTAGGAATGATCATCATTTGATCACACCTGAGCCAAGTCTGTTTATGCAGGCCCTCGTAATCCACAACATGTCCTGACACCTCTCTGGATAACAGGTGGATTCAATCTGGGTACTACTGCAATGGTGCTGTTATTCTCCATACATCACTGCTATTTTAACAGGAATAATTTCACACTATTCAGATCGTATGAGAAATGTCCAAACAGCACATTAGCAGTTCAGGCACAACATGACATGTCCCTAAACACAAAAACCAATGCCATCGATGAACTTTTCGTATAGCTATCCACAGTATTAGGTAAAAGTAAAAAGCATATCTCACAACTCAATAACCAATGCAGTGTGTTTTGCTTAAAATGAAGAATATCCATCAGGTGCAATGTGACCTAAAAGTCAGATTTGTTCCATGAGCAGAATGGGCAACTTTTTAATGGATATCGGGACAGCATACATTAATTTCTACACAGAATGATTTTACATAAATAACTATAAGGTTGATCTAGGATTATATTTTAGCTTACAGCATGTCCTGGTTGAACTTGTCTGGAGCAAATGATAGCATAATTCAGAAATCTGTGACTTACTGTGAGATGTGAGTTATTGGGGTCAGCAATGTTTCGCCTTCCAGGTCAAGTTCATCAGCAAAGCTGTTCGTCCTAATGAATGGTCCTGTGTTTGTATCTAAAAATGGAGAGTTTCTTTTCACTGTGAAAAAGAAACAGGAAGGTAAAGATTAAACTTGCTAGTAGGCAAAAGGCAGAATACTTTTTCTTTGGTGGGTCCATGATTCTGGAAGGTCCAGTTAACCTCCATAAAGTTACCACACTAGTTTTTCAGAAAGATTTTGAAAACCCACTTATTCTTGGTGGCTTTCTCATGACTGATACTCTTATCTAATTATTGTGCTCCTTTTGATCTTTTTTAAATTTTGTTTTATTTCTGGACTGGATACATACTTTCTACATACATACATAATTTTATTTGTATGCTGCCTTTCCACAGTTCAAACCATGCTCAAAGTGGCTTACAGCATAAAAAGAACACATAATTATAAAATTACAGAAGTAGTCAAACCATAATTTTTTAAAATGCACAACCAAACAACCATTTCCACATAATTCACAAGACCTAAAATAAAGATACAAATAACTAACAGGAGCAACAACCCTCACCTCAATAAAAAACCTTAAACAGGAGCCTACGAGTCTGGTCAGCAGTCTCACCTTTTGTAGCTGGAGTCAGTTGGGCCCCACCCTCCCAGGCCAGGTGGAAAACACCTACAAGGCAGGGAGCATGTCTTCCAGGACTCTTTGGCCCCTTTAAAATACTATGAATCTAGAGTACTCATGAACAGAATTCTGCAAACAAGAAGCACCACTGGAGGTGAAAAGCTATTCTGCAGTGTTTGGAGACCCTCCAGAACAGTGTGGAAGGCGGTAAAAGGAGCTGAAAGGACAAGGAAGAGTAAGCAAAAATCACCTCCTTCCTTTTCTTCTATCTCCAAATGGAAGCAATATTTCCATTTTCAAAAGAGTAAGTCTGGATCCAACTCAGTATAAATACCTAGTAGTAGTCACAGTATTTATTTGTTTAAGACTAGAAGTAAATTACAGTCTCCAACTGGTTTTGTTTAAGCTTTGTATCTTCAGTACAGTGGTACCTCGGGTTACAAACACCTCAGGTTACAAACACTTCAGCTTACAAACTCCGCTAACCTGGAAGTAGTACCTTGGGTTAATAACTTTGCCCCAGGATAAGAACAGAAATTGAGGTAGGCCCCATTAGCTAAAGTGGTACCTCAAGTTAAGAACAGTTTCAGGTTAAGAACGGACCTCCAGAACAAATTTAGTTCATAAACCGAGGTACCACTGTATAGTTCTATCTTCTGAAAGGAAAGCCCAATCTGTCCCATAAATTGTAACAGAATGGGTGAAATGTAGTGTCTACAAGGCCAGAGTTGAGCAAATGAAGCAAAGAGATGTAAGATTTACCTGGAGAAGGGGGAGAACTGGGAGATGGCTGCTCTGTAGAAAAGGATGACCAGGAATGCTGTCGGACTGAGTGAACAGGTGACAGGAGGGGTAGGGGAGACAGTGCACAGAACACCGAAAAAGAAAGGAAGAAAGTCAAGAGAGGCAGTAATGCAATCCAAGCCAAAATTGCATCAGTTAATCTTTAAACAACAGGAAAACAGGTACCGGTATATTTCTTTCTCTCATGTCCTTGGCTATTTCACCTTATTCACTTTTCCATTCCAACCCCCCCTCATTTCCCCCCTACATGGGTACTGTATTATCCTAAAGAATGAGAATAGAAAAGGCCTCCTATAATTTCAGTAACCTCTACTATGGAAGGTATATAGACATTTTGTCCCACTATATTTATGTTAAGGGGAAACATTGTAAGCCTCCTTAAATTCTGGGAGAAATGCGGAAGAGAAATGTGTGAAAATACATTCAGAATAGATGTTTTCTACAGATAAACAATGGGTAAGACTTCACAACAGGTTAGAAATTAAACTTCATCACAGATTCAGATTGGTCAGTCTGACTTAGCAGGTTTGAGATTTTAGCCACGGCAAGATCTGCAAATGTTTAAGGCTTCTTAATGAAGTGTTGCTTATTTAATAGGTTTTTAAAACTTACCAGCTGCTTATAACTTTAGTCACTGATTTTATGGCTGAGTTGTACTTTATGCACTTGAGTAAAACAAAGTAACCCAAGGATTTTAATTTAAATAAATAATTTACTCCTTATGGGGGGGAAAGCTTCCATGTATTCTTTGCTTAAAAACAACCAGAGGCCATGTTTAAAAGAATCAATAGGTGAATTATTCTATGTCTACTTTAGTTATTTTAATATAATTTCAAGTTTCAGCAAACCTAAATGCCCTATACATTATCCAGTAAACATCTTAAGGACATTCTCCTGTAAATGTTAAGTTCTTTTAGGTCTTACTGGGAATTCAGTGGGGAAACTGAACCACATTCTTAACTATATCCCATTGAAACATAAGATTTAAAAGTGATAATCTATGATGAATCATGTCCTAAATCTCCCATCCCCCTCCTGCCATAATAAAAATATGACTAAAATTTTGAATCTTTTTAAAAACAAGGAAAATATTCATTGCAATTAGGAATTCAAGAAATGTAATGAGCTGAGATTCTTAGGCTGCCATTCTCTGCGCACTTACCTAGGAGTAAGCCCTACTGAATCCAGTTAGACTTACTGTCAAGTAAACATGCATAAGCTTGCACTGCATATTTTTTTATTGCAGACTTCAAATAAAATTATAAAACAATGGGATTCACATGTCATCCTAATCAGTTATAAATGAGCAAGTGAAGAAAGAAAATAAAGGTCACTGAGTAAAGACAGTGGATTAACTCATTTGCTACAATGCAATTATGGGAGACAATGTTAAGAGTATATCATGTAATTAAACAGGATTTTTTATTTTAAAAATCCTACTTTTCTTCATTACTAATTGAATCATGATAAAGGACAGATGTGAAAGAATGCACATTTGTCCCACTTCAATTGCAGAATGTCAGCAGAAAAGTAGTATAGCCAATGGCCAGCGGGAGCATAAGAAAAGCACTGCAAGCAATGTTAAGTTTTCAATGTCTGGCATGCTGTAGGAAAATACAAATTTCCTTAACTTACCAAGAAATTTAAACATTCCTTTTTGTCCTGTACACTTGTAAGAGTTTTGAGAGAAAAAAACAGAGGGGGGAGGAGGAAAAAGGGAGAATAGATGTCAGAAGGAAAAGGAAACCTTTGTTTCTAAACTGGAGTTAGTACCTGCTTATAGATTATGTTGCCCTTCAAATGGTGAAAGTCACAGTTGAAGGTTAATGTCACTTGGGCATAGAAAGCAGTGAAAGAAAGCTTTAACATCTTTTGTACTAAATAACCTATTGAGAAACCAAGAACTGCATGTGAACTTTCTACCTGATATGCATTCCAATGTGGTATTCCCCATTGATATTTACTCTCTACAGCACTTTTTTTTAATTAAAAAAATGAAATTTACTTGGAAGAAAACTTGGCAAACAAGCTCTCAAAGGAAAGGGATGTGAGCTCTAAAGATACTCATGTGTGAGTAGCAGGTACCGTATATAGGAGGACAAAGTAGTGCTTTCCTTGAACGCTTATGAGCTGCACAAGTATTCTTCAGAATTGTGTTTTTTTAAAAAAGATGTTGCAGAAAGCTAACAAGAAAAATCAGATTATTATTCTAAAAAATGGAGGCTACCCAGAAGACTCATGCAGAACAGAAAGCAACTTAACAGTGAATAAGTAGCCTGCGGACCCTAGAAGGATACTGTCATACTGTTAATTATAATAATATATAAAAATAAATCAGTCTAAACAGAGATGAAGATTAAGGCTTTGGTTTAGTTAAACATTTTAGTTTCCTTTCCTCAGTATCACAGTTCAGATTTCAAATAAATGCTGGAAACTAAGGGGGGAAAGAAACTAAGGAAAGTGTCAAATGCAAGGAGTTTTCTTTAAAAATAAATAAATAAAAATAATCAAAGTGCTAGATAGATGTTGAGAAAGGTGCTAATCTTCAAGATTATGGTCAGGAGGTGTTAAGGTGTTAAGTATATAGATCCATAAATTATCTTTCTAAAATCCCTGGATAAAATGGTTTCTATAGGAAATATTTACAAGTCAAGAGTAAAATATTTTAAAAGAGACTCGACAAAGACACTCAAGCACATGTAGGTTCAATCTGTTACAACAGCATTGAAACTTGTGGGCAGTAAAGCAGAACAGCCTCTTATAAACTTTCTTCAGGGCTCAGGTATTTGTTAGGCTATTTGGTCTAGTTAAATGACAGCTCCTTATTTCAGGGTATCCAAACCCCAACCAGGAAGCAGTGAGGCTTGTCAAAGCACTACATCTGCAGTTCCTGGCCCTTGTGCTGGCCAGGGGGAAGAGATGAGAAATAGGCAAATCACTGTGGCAGCCTGGAATGGGTCCAAACTGGGCCTGATGGCAATAATGGGATGGCTTGAGATCCAGCAGATCAAGGGCCAGCTCAGTCCTTCCCTCCCTGCCTCCAGAATATCAAGTTTCAGGTTTTTCCATTGGCTGCCAGCTGGAGAGAGCTGGCTGGTGGAACTTCCGCTCTACGCTGGCAGAGTGATGCAGATTTCACACCACAGGAGGCGACCAGCAGAGGGAAATCTCTGCCCAGCGCCAACATCTGGCCTTACCCCTAGGCTGGCACAAAGGGGCTTTGGCTTGCCGTGTTAAGTTTATGCAAATTCTAACCGAAATTCTTACCAGAATTTTCATTCGAGTCCAAGTAGTTTTCAGATTTCCGATCTTCCATCACATGGTCAAATGTGATTTGTGGAACAGATAACATTTTGTCAGGAGAAGAAGGCCCATTATCTTTTTCTGTCTTGCCTTTCTTCTTTTTTACCTGAGAGGAATACATTTTAAAATCTTCTTAAAAAACAGAAAACAAAAAACCCTGACTGCATGAACAATGAGCTAAGCTAAAGATGTAATTAATTCAACACAAGAAATTAATTTATATTACAAGTAACCGAGGGGAAATAAAATTATGATTTATTATAAAATTACAATTCTACCTTTTCTTTCATGAACAGGATGTGTGGGGGGTTAATCACTCTAGCAGGCAAGCAGAAATTCTTGTATTGATGAAGCGATCCCCTAATGTTGAATTCCTAATGTTGTGTTCCTCCCAGAGTCGATCACTCCATAATTACATTTCTCCCCTTGCCTTCCTTTTATTATAACCACTGACTTCTTAGTCAATGCCATAGTTTATGAAGGAAGTCCTCAAGAGGAAAGAATTCTACCTCCATTACTGTTTGTCACTGAAACAAAATTTAGGAGACAAAGTCTGATCCTCTCCCATGATTGGTGCAGAGGAAGAAAACCGCGCAACACTCAACACAGCTTCTTGGAGCTTCCTGCCAGCTAGTCAGGCTGGCCCAATCACCAGTAGACATGGCTGTGTGTGATATCATATCAGACGCGCCGAGTTGCCCCCAACATTGGAGGCCCCGTCGCACATGCATGATGTCACACACGTGGCACCACCCCCCAACCAGGCCAGACCAACTTGGCCCGCCACCCCCACCCACCTTACCTTTGTGAAAGGGACTCACTGGGGTCAAGATGCTTTGCACTGGTGTGTCCCTGGTGGAGATTGCCAGAGCGCTTTCCTGGAAGGCCCCCTTGCAATCACCAAAGGAATGTGCCAGGAAGAAGATGCCTCACCCTGGCGTGTCCCTTTCATGATTACTGTGGAATTTTGGGGAGACCCAGGTCCCTACTTTAAAATATTGGGGGGTCCTGGCCCCCCAGCCCCCCTAGACGGTGCCCCTGTGTCATATGAAGAATATCTTGTTATGCAAATATTGGTTGATATTCAATTTTTGCCATAGTCAGAATAAGCCTATTGAGTTTGCCCTGAGTATGACTAAGGTTGAATATCACATTTTCAAGAAAGGCTGTTTTGTGTAGAGAAAACATATTCTATGGAAAAGCATTCATTTCAATCTATTTTTAAACATTAAGGTGTCAAAACGCCCAAGGGAAATGGAAATGCAGCTCCTTACCGACACCATCGCAATTTTCTTTGGCTTGGGACTAGGAGACATCAAGTGATAATTTCTGGACGGTTTTTTAATATATATTTTCCATGTAGAAGAGTCTGGGTTTTCTGATGCATAGCACCTCCAGGCAGTCTAAAACATTAGTTAAATGAATTAAAAAACATTTATGTATCATCAGAAAACCAACATTAATTTATAAACAGCAACCTTTTTTAATCCATGAACATTTGTCTAAATTAGGGATAGTGGAAAATTCAAAATTAGGGGGTGGGAGAAGAGATCTTAGTTCAGAAAACTTTCTTCAAATTAATCCACTTTAACTGGCCTCATTCCAAAAGATAACAAAAAATAAAATAGGCTTCTTATAAACAAACACCAAAAAGAGAAAAGGCCAATTACAAATGTACAAAACTAATATATAATTGTATTCTTTTCCAAACACAAATAATGATAAAAAATATTAACAGCAAATGTGCTTGTGCAAAATACAGTGAAACAAACAAGATCTGTATTACCATTTCCAGCCATGACTAATTGCATGAAACATACTTTTTATTATTTTTAACAAAACTATAAATACGAAACGTGTGTATAGAGGTAGGAGGGGGTCTCAGAGCAGCTTTTGGATCCATGTCAAGCCTAGGCACCAAGGACAGAATCCAAGTGGACCTCCTAGCACCGTTGCTCCAGCAGGTGTCTGCTAACAGGAGAGAAAGGGGGGATATTTAATCCCCTTTTTACTCCTGCTAGTGCAGGCATAGGCAAACTCGGCCCTCCAAATGTTTTGGGACTACAACTCCCATCATCCCTGACCACTGGTCCTGTTAGCTAGGGATGATGGGAGTTGTAGTCCCAAAACATTTGGAGGGCCGAGTTTGCCTATGCCAGCTCTAGTGCTTCCTGAAATCTGTGCTGGTGGGTTGGCATTCTGTTTTGGCATTCTCCAGAACAGATTTCTGAGAGTGCTGGGGTTGCAGAAAGCAAGGGGAATAGGCAAAAACCGCTCCTTTGCCTTTGTTAACAGACACCTGCCACTGGATCAAAATTCCTTGGCATTGCACAAAAGCACCTGCTGGGTCCAACCCAATAGGATTCTTTAAAAAAAATATCTATCAAAATATATGCAGTAAATGTAGGCTCTAATCACCATTACCTGAATGAGAGAAGCAGCTGCTGGAATTTGCCGATTGAAGTGCTTCTGTCGTTGTTTCTGCTGTACCTTCAAGGCAAATCCAGAACCAAGAATACCCTGAAGAAAGGAGTGTTTTTAGAAGAGAAATGCCATACCAGTTATACCTTTTAAATTTAATTTCAAGCAAATTCTGCTCAAATGGTATTTGCCCCAAATCTGAGATTGTCCCAGATTTCTTCTGGCTGGTTCGACTTGAGCTGCCACATTTTCCGTATTTCCATATTTTCCATTATACTGGACCCAGATATTTTTGCACTTTTACTTACAGTCACACTTTTAAAGAGGCCTGTATGGTACACAGGAACTACAGTGGGCAGTTACCCGCATTAAAAGTTTGTGTTGTTTTTGCACATGGTTATTTTACATATGCCCACACTAATAATCGTTGACGCAACAATAGCAGACCACAAAACTCATGATACAACATGCTTGTGATAAAAGCATGGATGCATAAATAAATATCCAGGGCTTGTGTGCAACTATTGTATAAAAAGTATGGTAGCCCCAACAGTATTGGGCAGAATCTAACCAGCCAGATTAACACCCAAGCACAGAAATTCATCACTTTGGCAGTGATAAACAGTAAGCTCAAGAGTGTTCGAACTCAAATATGTAAGAATCTTCCCAATGAGAAAATACTGCATGTTTGCATATGAATTTAAACTTATTTAAAAACAAATTGAAATACTCTAAACCACCTACCGCAGGCAAGGCAAAAAATGAAATTGCAAACACAGAAAAGCAAGACGCAATGGTTTTCCCTATCCATGTCTGAGGCACTTTGTCTCCGTAACCAATGGTTGTTACAGTCACCTGAAAGTAAGAATTAAGCATTATTAAACACATTATCACATTATTAGGACATAACTTTATTGATATTCCAATTTGCTTTGAGACTGAAACCAAGTGATGATAATTGTCATACATTGGAACAAACACATGTTTTTTAATTACTCTGAAAATGCCATTCGTTCCCCCATGCAATCAGAAGAGCATGGTAAGCTCAGCTCTCCAAAGGACCAGAGTGTCTATGCTCTGTGGTGCACCAAGAGTGACTTCTACAGGCAATGCTTTCTATGGAGACCACATCTACTGCCACTGTGGATCCTTCTGCCCCAAGTGGTTGCCTCAGCTTGCCTCATGGGTGGCCCTGCATTTTTGCCTCTCTGACCTATGTATATACAAACCATTAAACCTCGTCAAGTATTTGGGTTCCTCCAGTACTTACTTTCAGAGAGTTTGAAAAGCCCTGTTGTCATCAGCACACTAAGGAACTAGCAGTCTGTCTTCCTAGTGCACCGGAGGCCTTAATAAACTCTGTTTCTAAAGGCATGCTTTTAGCCCTCGTTATTAAATATTCATTCATTCATTAATACATCTATACCCCACCTTTTCTTAAAGGAGCTTAAAACAGTGTATCTCAGTGCATGAAAATCAGAAAGATTTTGCAAGACAGTAGTCAGAAAACAAGTTACTGACTGCCGTTCCCCTCTTCTTTACACATCTCTATGGTAGCTAAACATACCAGGCATTCCTTCCCATTTTCTTCATTACTAGGAACACCTCCAACAAAATATTTCAGATTCTGCACTTTAGGTACTAGCAGCTAATTTGTGTAATTAGAAATCTTTGCATTACTCTTGTGCCACTTGACATTTTGTATAATTTCACAAACATCTGCATACGTAAGAAACCTATCCTTCTAGTGGAGTGCATTGAAGAAACTTATAATAGTAAAACAGTCTTTAATTCATGAGAAAGAAAAGAAGGCAGGAAATTGAATTACAACATAGCTCATGTTAACATGCTGTAAATTCAAAGCCTTAATTTAGGCCTTTATGACTTGGAAAACTTTACGGTACATGAGGTTTCAGGGCCATGGGCAGCTTGCCCAAATCCCACTCTTCTCTTTGGGGAAAACCATACCAGCCCAAGTAAAAACAAACTTTACATTGATAATTTTATTTATAACAAAGAAGGTATTTCCTAATGCATGGGTACCATACATTAAGAAAATAGAAGGAAGGGTGAAAAATGCCACATGAAACAACTATATATTTTTAAGTATTATAGTGATGCAATGATGTCAAAAGGAAAAGGGACAGATCTAAAGTCAGTAGCTGATCCCTGCAATATTATGATACACCGATTCACATATTTCATTAGAGGGTGTCTGGAAACTAATATGAAATGAAAATCAAACACCTGAGAAGAATGCTTTTAAGAAGATGATGGTCACAGCATTTCACTGCAGACCAAAGTTTATATAGGTTGCAGTAAGCGATGACTAAATGTAAGTCAGACGTTATTCAAGACCCTACAGAAATAATGGAGTCCATTTCATCAAAAAAAAGCAGATGGGGGAAAAAAGCAGTATTCAGATGCCCAGAACATTTTCTTTCTTTTTCCAATAATATTTTCACACACAAAAAAACTGCACAGGGGTACTAAGCCCTGTGTTTTTAGAGGAAAAGTTGAGAAAATACAAGTACTGTAGCAGAAGTACTTTTGGACATTCATTTTTTGTTATCAGCACATACAAGAAGTGCCATACTAAATGTAAAAAAAAATCATCCTTGTGCATGTGTCTAGATTTCTATACAATAAATAATATATTCTTTAAAAATAGGATGACACTCTTGCACCAAATATTTGAAACTGATTGTATTATCCAGTACAGTGGTACCTCGCAAGACGAATGCCTCGCAAGACGAAAAACTCGCAAGACGAAAGGGTTTTTGGTTTTTTGAGTTGCTTCGCAAGATGAATTTCCCTATGGGCTTGCTTTGCAAGACGAAAACGTCTTGCAAGTTTGTTTCCTTTTTCTTAAAACCGTTAATACCCAGGGTGCATTGCTTGAAGAGGTGCAGTTGCACGCGGTGTGGTAGCCTTTTTTGAGGTTTTTGAAGACTTTGGTGATTTTTGAAGCTTTTCCAAAACTTCTTTTGAAACTGTGCTTCGCAAGACGAAAAATTCGCAAGACGAAAAAACTCGCAAAACGAATTAATTTCGTCTTGCGAGGCACCACTGTATTTAAAAGAAGCAGTAACATCACTAAGATGATCACAAATAAATATTGGAATTGAAGGATTTGCATCTGGATAACAACATCAGTTTAAAACACTGCTTTGAAAAGAAATAGGCTGCTCATTGTTGTGAATGAGAAGAGGAGATTATTTCAATTTCCCACCAAATTTCCAGTTTTTCATGTTAGGCTTTGGAAAAACGCTGAAGCAGAAAGGACAGTAGCTTTGCATGCAGGAACGCCCAGGTTCAGTCCCTGGTACCTCCAGTTAAACAAATTAGAAAACAAGTTGTAAGTTAAAGCACTTCCTGAGACTGTGGAGTGCTACAGGCAGTTGGAGGAAAGAACACTGAGCTAGTATGACTCAGTATAAAACACACACACACACACACACACAGAGAGAGAGAGAGAGAGAGAGAGAGAGAGAGAGAGAGACCCTGTCCCAGTTTTGTTCAGGTCTTAATGCATGCCTCCATTAAAAACCTAGCAATTATCTTGTTCAGGAACATGTCCTGAACAAGCAGGTATAACAAAAGGTAGCAGCAATGTCAAAGACTCCATTGCACAATTCTCTTCCATCCTCTTGCACAATTTCGTGTTAATTACAATGGGGCTGGAACAGATTGTGGACTGTCCCAACTGCAGAGAATTTGCCATTTTATTTACAATTCACTTCAGTAAGCTGAGCTATCATAATACAAAGTTACCTTCAAGCCCAACATAAACTGTTGTGAAATCTGTAAGCATGTTTTATTTACATAATACGGGAAAGGGGGAGGCCTGTACAGAATAAGTTATTTGCTCTTGAAAGCCTCTTTATTACAAAAGTAGAATTGTAAAAAATAAAAAGGAGACAATATTTGAATAGGTTTGTTTGGTCAGCTGGATAGTTTTACAACACTATTATTCACAGAAGGATGTATTAGCTCTTCCAACAGCTTTGGAGCCAAGCATTCAGCATTGTTGAAAAGTTTATGGTATCATTTTCCAGCAAAGGCCAGTATAGTTGAAAGTTATAAGAACATAACTCACAAAGAACAATGACAGTCAGATGAAAAGCCACCCATGAGACTAGGATGATGTGCAAACAAATAATTATGTTGTTTCATTAAAATGTTACAGCCTTGTTGGTGGGCTTTCATTGGCATGCAGACATATCCTAAGTCAATATGACAAAGAACCTTGTAACACATTCCGTTCACTGCGGCATAAACCTACATCCCACAAACTTATTATATAACTTGGACCCTAACCCATAATTACTCTAAGCATATTTTGAGGTGCCATAATACCCTTTCTTCTATAGTAAACTAACAGGTTGTTGTTTTTTTAAAAAAATGATGTTTAATTCTTTGGAATTTGTCCCTTAGTAAATATATAAGAAGCTTGATTAAATGTATTTTTGTAAAATGCTTTGAGGGTGTTTTTTTTAAAAAAACACCACAACAATCAAATGGTACATAAATTTTATTAAATAAATACATAAATGTCAATAATGGACAAATGTAATAGCTGCACCAAATTCTGTGGGTCATGATTAGAATGGATTGTATGGTGAGGTAGGTACAGGCTAGTCACAGATAGATACTGTAAGCAATTTTAGACACATAAAATGGAAGCACCATGTTTAATATGAGAGCTTAGCAAGCACAAATGCAGACCACTCTGTTATACATTCTGCGTATACTAATTAGGCAAGAATTGAAGCCACTGAAGTAACTGCATGAGTAGAATGACTTCCTCTCCTCCTGTGTCTCTTCCACCTCCAAATCTGCTCCAGAAAGTAGGGAGACCCCAACAGCAGATTTGAGGGGCTTCAGTGGGTGCATAGGTGAGGTTCTACTGCACAGGCGAAACTCATTCTGCTCATGCAATGACTTCATTGGATACAACCCAGATGTAGTATTGCTCTTTAAAAAAAAAGTCCTATTTAAATATCGGGAAAATTAAATACATTATTATTCCTGAGTTTCCACCTGATTTGGGGGCAATTCTGTCCCCTCCAAAGGTTTTCTGTTCAAGAACATAACCCTAGCTATAGAAACTCTGGGCAAGAAACGTGCTTCAAGTGTAGGTTGAATTAATCAATAAATGATAGGACGATAACTTGTCAACCACGTAAAATGATAGACAGGTTGAAATACTGTTTCTGTCTCATAAAGATCAATGTGCAGATAACACAAGGGCTGTGAAAGGATTTCCCCACAGAGACCTGTTCTGCCATAGTGTGGTGACTCACCACTGAGAAACATACCTCAGTGATACAAGCTCTGCTTACATCCAGGCCAGAGGACTCTGTGTACAGGCGCCTTTGAAAAGGGTTCACAACTTCAATTGGGGTAGAATGCGGCAGCAACAATAATTGCATTAGTCCGGTGGTCGGAACACGTTAACAATTCTGCACCTATTGTGTTTGTTGCCTGCTTGCTTACAGGCCAAATATCAAATGCTGGTGTCAGGGAACTGCCATCAGTGCCGGAGGGAGAGAGCAAGCTCCAGAGGGATCCCAGAGAGCGTCCCGGGATTGGGAGAGGCAGCCCATCTTCTGGGGAAGGGAATCAGCTCAGCTCCAGTGGAGAAGGGGGGCAGATGGGGGAATCTGAGAGGGATTCACATGACTCCTTGCCGGGGACCAGCGGGGGGAGGAAGGGTCCTCCGCTGCCTATGCCCTCCTTGCACAGAAGGCTTCCGCGCAGGGAGGGTAGGAGGAGACTGGGCGTGAAAGAACTTCTTTGTTGGAAGAAGTTTAAGAAACGCGCACTGACGGATTCTGCCAGCGATTGAGACA